AATTAACAACATTTCCTCATTATTTTAATAGAAAATGTAATTTAGTCAGCATATTTGTTGTTATAAATAAGATGTATATAAATGTACTTTTTAGGAGACAGAGCTTCTGTGAGAAGTTGGTTGGACTACTTGGTGAATCATGGTGAATCTTCCAGAAGAAGAGGCTATGCCAGTGACTGAAATACCATGTAGCACATAACTCATTTTTGCGTGCTTTGAACTGTCTATGGGTCTTCCTCTGCAGATGGAGTTTGAGACGTTTAGGGTAGGGTTATCATCAAAGTCAAAATATGAAAGGTTTCACTAAGGAGTGTCGAGGCTCCTGTTTTCCTCTGACTGACCTGTGTGTTTCACTGATAACAGCCTAACTGATCTATCATTTAAGGATTTCCATAAATACTGTCATTAACATAGGTGACTCAGTTTGGCTCTATTTGCAACAGCAAAACAGAGAAGAGGCCAAACTTTCACCTGTTAGGTCTCAGCTACTTCCAACTCTGAGAGTTCTGATATTTCAGTCTTTGATTTTAAGGCTTCATTTATGCCCTGGTATTTATCACTTCTTAAAGATCCCCTCCAGATGTGTTAAGACATACAGTATACACAAATAGTCTGCTTACAATAGTGTGTCAGATGTGTTTTTTCCTGCCAAAAAAAATACATTTCATATTAAAACCTATAAAAAGGCATCTACTCCTTCTAGCTCATTAAAATGACAAAATCTATGAATATGCAAATTTTGTTCATTTCTAAAGTTCTTAAGTAGACTCAAGATGTCTACTTCTGTAAGTCCGACTTACTGCGACTTACAGGCAGTAAGTCGTCTGCTGGACCAGGACTGCTTCCAAACTATTCGTGATGTCACAAATCATGCTGGTAGGCCCCGCCCCTTAAAATCTGATTTTCAATGAGCACAGAGAAACTTTCCACTTTCAGCAGATGAATGTGAAAACATCCTTCTAGAGTCAAACTCTGCACAGACAGCATTCAAACAGCACACTGTAGGGACAAGAAGAAACACT